GAGATCTTGGGAAAGAATGGAATACTGAAATTAATGAACAGAAAATAGGATTTCTATGGATAGAATAATGTTAGTACTGAAAAGAAAGCCACAGCCACACTTCCTTGCTCTTAATTTACTAAGCATTAACAGAAATAATTCCCTGGTATAGTCATATTGATAGGAGAATAAAATTCTTCATAGATATAAACTGTATTTTGATCTACTAATATCAAGATTCTGAAAGTTTAAAAATTTGATGATCTGTATGAAATACTATATGAAAATTAATTATTATTCTCAAATCTCCTTCCACAGGTAATACAGGTACATGTCCTATAAAGTCTTCATATTTGATCTAATCTAAATAATGAGAGCCACAATAAGTGTAAAAATCAAATGCTCTGGGTGTATCTCTTTTTTTTTTTTTCCAAAAGAAAAGTTGGCAGGGACACTAGAATCAAAGTACGTACTTCATATAATGAAAGTTGGAAGACTAAGGAAACTACAAAAAAGCATTTGACAAATTGAAGCAGAAGTCAAAATAAAGCTGAAAACCTAAGATATTTTATGAAGTCCTACCTAACACAGTTCTCAATGTAAGTACTTAGAAAACATACTATTTATAAAATTTATTACTACACACATGCCAAATGATAAATATCAAGTATATTTTTACCAATACTTTAAAATTAACTAAGCCTCTTATTACCAATATAGAATTCAATTTATTGAAGTGATGGAAAGCAGAGGATGATCTTAAGGAAATACAGTTTGCCCTACTTCATTAGTCAAGGATGATTAGTCACTGGGGCACCTGGGTGGCTCAGTTGGTTAAGTGTCTGACTCTTGATTTTGGCTCAGGTCATGATCTCACAGTCGTGAGACTGAGCCCCATATGGAGCTCCATGCTGGTCATGGAGCCTGCTTCAGAGTTTCTCTCTCCCTCTCTGTCCTCCCCTACTCTCTCTCTAAAATAAGTAATCTTAAAAAAATGATTAGTCACTGAACAATCGTGAAGTACACTATGCACACAATATATTAGGCTGGTCATTCCTGAAAATTAGGACTCCAAACAGAACATGCTATAGGGTAGTGTGAACTGGCATTCTACTACAGGACCCTACATTAGACTACAAGCTTTGCTGTCACAAAAAGCTTAGTAAGACAGAAATGTTATTTCTCTCATGTCAGCATCCACAGCAATAGGCAATAGAATGGGCTTCATGAGGCCATTCAGGAGGTTTCTATTGCACTACCATTCTCTAGAGTATTTTTCTAATCTATAAGGCCCAAACTCCCCAGTAATATGTCATGTTCCATCCTTTGAGAAATGGGAAGGAGAAAACAGCACATTTTTAGGGATGTGATCTAGAAGCTGCCCACATCACTCCAACTCACATTTCATTGGCTGAACTTGAAGTCACTGACCATACCTAGTTGCAAAGGAAGCTGCTAAATGTAATCACCAGGCAGGTGGTTATGTGCCCACTGAAAACTTGGGGATTACTTTACAAGAGAGAAGGGTATTAGGGAATAATGCAGACCAAAAATGGTGAAAGCCTCTCAGAACATTTGGGATTTTTTATTTAACATTTATTTTAACATTAAATAATTATTCTTAATGCACTGTTTCATGAAAAACCTCCTGGTAGGTTATCACAGCTAAACATGATAGCCTAAACAACCTATTACTCGCATAACTCTAAGATACAAGATACAAGGTCTTAAAAATAGATCTGTATCAGGAAAAAGACAATACAAAATATACATATTTATCCACATATGTACAAGTATATAACCCCCCCACACATACCTTTATGCCAGTGTACAATGTATATGTATGCATGTAAATGCATGTATATATAATATCCTCCTTTCATTATCAGAAGTTTCCCAGGTTAAGAAATAAGTTATTATGATCACCCTATTTATAGGTCTTTCTTGATAATGACAATTATATTGCATTGTCTATTTCTGGGACAGTAAAAAAAGTAAAAGAAGATTTTTTTTTGTAGTAAGCAAACTGAAATACTTTGGGGCAGCTATGAAGATAATTAATTAGTAGGGTATAAAAAACCTTGAAAACTTCCAACAGGCAAAAATCTCCAAGAGGTTCTAGTCATTCTATATAAAATCACAAATTTAGTAATTCTCTTACTGTTAAGAAGCTGGTCACTGTGTATGCTCTTGCAGTTAATTCTTATCTAATAAAAAATAGCTTGCTAGGTGGGAAAGAACCCACAACTTTATGCCAATGAAAATGTACTTAAGTGAGTCTAACTAGTCTTTGAAATGGCATTAAGTCAAACATGTCTCAATTATAAATTAGTATTTAAGGAAATAAAATATGGTAACATCTCAAATCAGGTGATTTATTCAATAAGTAATGTTGAAACAGTTACCCACATAGAAAATAAAAAGAAAGCTCTAAACCTTACAATGTACAATTTTAGAAAAATGGAAGCAAAAAAAGCATTTTTTAATAAATTTGCAAGTTAGGGAGATTCCAAGAAGCTATGAAATTGAATATGTAAAATCTTAAACCGTTAATACAGTGAAAGACATCATAACCCAAGTTAAAAAATAATGAACAGACTGAAGAACATGTGTAATATATAGAAAACAGACGATTAATATTTGAGTATAGAGCTATATATAATTATATGTATTTGTGCATAACTATGTATATTGTTTCCCCTCTTACACAATAAACATTCCAATAGAAAAATGAAGGGACATTAAGAGGCATTTCACAGCACAAAATAAAGTGTCTTTAAGCATTTGAAAAGGTGCTCAAATGTACAAATAAATCAAATGTAATTCAAATTAAATCCTGAGATAACACTTTTTAAAGCCTATTAAAATTGTAAAAAATAACAAGGCTAATAATCTGGTGCTGGCAAGGCTTTATCTTTTAGGAAAACACTTTTTAAACTGTACATAGCCTTACCCTTGATATATTCAAAATCTACTGTATAGAAATATCTCAATAAGCATACAAAAAAAAAAACCCAAACCCTTGCCAAACCGTTTATGAAAACTTTGTTTTCCTAATAGTAAAAAATTAGGCACAACACAGAATAGAAAGCATTTGAGATATTTCTAAAGTTATTTTTAAAAAGGAAGTTACAAAATAGTATAGGTAGTATATAATTCCATTTTTGTTGAAAGAGACAAAACAATAATAGATGTTGGCTTATGTGTATAAAACCAAGTTGGAAGAAATCTATCAAACCTTTACAGCTATTTCTTTTAAGAGATGAAATTATGGCGCATGTTTACTTTTTGTGTAATCTATTTTTGCTGTCTTAATTACTTAACACAAATGACTTTTTAATTTTTTTTAATGTTTATTCATTGTTGAGAAAGACAGACAGAGTGTGAGTGGGGGAGGAGCAGAGAGGGAGGGAGACACAGAATCCAAAGTAGATTCCAGGCTCTGTGCTGTTAGCACTGAGCCCAATGTGGGGCTCGAACCCACGAATTTTGAGATTGTGACCTGAGCCAAACTTGGGACACTAAACCAACTGAGCCACCCAGGTGCCCACAAATGATTTTAAGTGAAAGAAAAAGCAGTGATTTATTCATAAGTTTTAAAATGGTTTCTAATTAATACTGAAATTACAAAATTTCAAAAGCAGAAAGAATCCTGGTACCAAGATGTTTTTAAAAAGAGTACAGTTGATACTTGAACAACAAAGGGGTTAAGGGCACCAACCCTCTAACATAGTCAAAGATCCATGAATAACTTTTGACTCACCAACAACATAACTAATAGCCTACTGTTGACCAGAAGCCTTACCAATAACATGAAAAGTTGATTATATTTTGTGTATGTCTTATATACTGTATTCTTACCGTAAAGGAGACTAGAGAAAATATTAAGAAAATCATAAAGAAGAGAAAACAGACTTAGAGCATGATTTTATAATGTATTTATCAAAAAGTCCACATATAAGTAGACGAACTCATACAGTTCAAACCTATGTTGCTCAAGGGTCAGCTGTTACTTATTTAGAGGTACCTAGTGAAGTAATTCAAGGATATAGTGTTTGCTTCCATTTCTGGGTTGAAGTAGAGACAACAAAAGATTAGCCATGGCTTCCTGAGTGAACCAGTAACCTAAGTGAGATCACTGGTCCACGGGGCTCATTGTAACATACTCTACTTGGGCATATGTTTAACTATTCCATTAAAAAAGTTAAAAACATGTGACAAAAACAATGTGTCATCACAACTCTACTGAATAATATTCTTAAACTAGTGCAACTGAATATTTTTAAATGTTGATCAATAATCGGCATGCTCTTTTCTTAGTAATATTTTGCTTCTAGAATTTTAGAGGATGGTATACTTCATTGTAATACATTTCGCTAAAATAAGAACTTCAGTTTTAGGGAATATAGTCTATATGGAGATGTCAAATTTGGTAGAAAGCTCCTGGTAAAGTTACTTTTCTTACTAGGTATCAAAGGAGTACTGTAATTTTTGTCACCACCAATTAAAAACTTTTACGAAATAGGACTGTTATAAAACAATTAAACCTTGCAAATGCACTAGTCTCTAGGAAGAAAGTCCTGGAGGAAATTCTGCTTATTAAAATTGCAATTTTAGTTTCCATTAAAAGGAGAATAAGACAACAGAAGACGGGCTGGCAAGACAAATTATTTCTTAATGTCAGTTGAGCTTATTTCCAATGAGATAACAGATCTACACCAGGTTGGGTTCAGTACAATTTTGTCTCCTCAACTCATTTATCTAATTCAGTCATCTTGATTATAGCCTCATGGACTTCATTTTCAGAGAAAGAATTCTATAACAAACAGCCCACACAACATGCTGATTACTGAACAGTTAATTCTAATTAACTTGGGCATGGCAAGAGAATTTTGATAAAGTCCTAGAATACAAATATAGGCTGCTTATACTAGACTAACTTCTATAAAAAACCCACAGCAAAGTCTCCAGACAAAACAAGAGAGTCAAAGAGATCTAATTTAAAGAAACAAATGAGAAAATTAAAATCACAAATAATTTATTCTTCCGTTAGAGTTGATACAGTTTTAAATAGCAACAAAAGTACACAGTGGTGGAAAATTGGCACAGAACCTATAAGCATTTTCAATCACAATAAGGCTGTCCATGCTTTATCTGTTCAAACTTGATGTCCATTTTCTACTGACCAAGTTGAAAAAAATTCTATGCTGACCTTAAAACACACACACTCTCTCTCATACACACACAGAAACATATTAAAATTCCTTTTGATTACAGTATGTTGAGAACAGTACATTTTGCTTATTCAAATTTATGGCACCCCTTCTGTTTTGTTTCCAGTTAGAAGTGGGAAAAACCAATTCAATTGTAAAGAATACATCTTATTCCCTGGGCATAGGCAACTGTGATGAAAATAGCAACTTACCTTTGGGCTAGATGTTTTCAGATTATGCTTTAATAATTGTGGTTATAAACTTCACAATGCATGATTTCCTGCCCAATGCAATATCCCTGAATTTAGCTAAAATAATCAGGCATGGGACAGTCTCAAATATGATTAAATATGCCATGCTAATAAACAAAATGATGTAGAAAGCAACCTCTATGCTTTTAATACAGATCAGAATAAACCTCACCAATGAGCATCTTCCTAAACATCTCTTTGTGTTATATGAACCAACATAAAAAAGGGGAAAGTTTGAATGTGTCCTTTTATAAATGGCATTATTTCCAGTGAACAAAGTTGAAATAAAGGTTTGTAAAGTATTCTGAACTACTCTATTTTATAAACCAATTATCCTTCTAATGTTAAAAAATAAACTTACTGGATCAATGTTGACTCTTCTTTGATATCATTTAAAAAATGCTTTGATATTATTCACTAAGTTCCCTTATTATTCAAACGAAGTAAAATTAACACTTCCATTTTCAGTTATTGCTATTTTAGGAGAGAATTTCCACTTCCTTTACATGAAACTGCTACCGAGATTCTTCAGATCCCACATGAAGTAATTCTTATTGCCTCACATTTTAAAACTGTATTATAAATGATCTTTATAAAAAGGTTTTAATCCACAAAACTGGAAAGCTTTTAAAAAATGTCTTTTACTCAAAACTATCACAGTGCCCTTGATTATCTAACAGATAAAAGGGATCTGAATTTCCTCTAAAGAACATAATAGTGGACATATGGTGTGCTTTGTCTTCTCCCTCACCTTTATCTTTTATAGTACACCATTTTGAGACCAACACAATCAAGCATCCACCATGCTCCAATCCACATCAACAGAGGATTTCTGATTCTGTCCAATGCGTAGTGTACCGCCTTGCATATTCACATGAAATAAACATAATATACAAAATATTGCTGCTGTAAAAAGTGTACATTTCCCTCTTCCCCTTACAAAAGAATCTGTGGAAAAGTATTAAATTCCCTTAACCTTCATAAACATACAAAGCTGTTCACACCTTTCAGTCTGTAACAGTCCATTTGAAACACAGTTCCCAAATCATTGCAAATTGGTTATGTCATTGTATTTTCTGTCCAATGTTGCCATCTAGAGTAGAAATGTGAAATCAAGAGTATTTTTTAGCTACTAAAGCCTTGTTACAACTAAGCCACAAAGGCTGCTTACTGATGAAACAGCCACTTATCCACAAGGTTTTCCCAGAAACTAGATGGAATGGAAGGATCTCTTCACACAGATGTGTCCACAGTGCTGAGGTGACAATATGGCTGCTAATAGATACTGGCTATTGGAATGTAAGTACTTTTTCACTGCTGGTAATTTCCATACTGTCCCTAAAAAATAAATTGAAAAATGCAATTAGATAATGATTTGACCATAGTTTGACCGTAACAGTTTGGCATAGAAAATTATAAATAAATCTTAACACTGTCCTACTACAAAAGCGACTTTATCAACAACACACAAAAATATTTAGGTACGGAGTATCTCTTTAATTGCTCCTGATATTACCTTCAATTGCAAATGGATTTCAGAGTCTTTGAACCTAGAATAATACCTGTCACGTTGTAGGAATTTAAATGTTTAGTGAATTTTGCCAGAAATGCACTGAGCAAGAATGAGAGAGAAGCTCTGGTTCTAAATCCTGGTGTGGTATGTACTGTGTATTAATTATGTGGTACTGTAACAACTTTGTGACTGCTTACCTTACTATAATTACTATTATGAATTAACATCAATGACATCTGGAATAAGTAGTAGGGATGGAAAGGTACCTGGGAGATAAAGGGAAAAGAAACCTCCCTGCATACTAAAGAAGCTTGGCTTTCCCTGAGGCCAACAAAGCGTCAGCAAAGGCAGCTGGTACATAAAGTCAAGGGAAGTTTGTTTTGTTTTTGTGGCTTTTAATAAGGTAGATTTGAGCCTGTAGGCTGACAAGACAGAAGAGCACAGAGAAAAAGAGGTGATAAATGATGCAGGATTCTACAAGGGAGGTAAAAAACATGGTAGGGTTCGATTTTTGACAAGAGAAGAAACATCTCTTCATCTGAAAAAGAAGAAAGGTAGAAGAAAAAAAGAAACCATTTTTAAAAAATTTCTTAACTGTATTTAAAAGAGGTGCTCATAAAAGCACCTATTCTCCAAAAACAGTACTCACAAAAAGCACATAATCAGCTAATTGTTTTCCATCAGCTAAACTTCCTCCCCCAAGTCACATTAATTATTTTATATCAAGAAAGTATTTTAGGGGCTCAGTCAGATAAGCGTCTGACTCTTGATTTCGGCTTAGGTCCTGATCTCATGGTCCAGAAGATCGAGCCCCACATGAGGTTCCGTGCGTTGACAGTGCAGAGCCTGCTTGGAATTCTCTCTCTCCTTTTCTCTCTGCCCCTCTCCCACCCATGCTGCTCTGTCTCAAAATACATAAATAAATTACAAGCGGATGGAACTAGAGGGTATTATATGCTAAGCAAAATTAGTCAGAGAAAGACAAACATCCTATGACTTTACTCATATGTGAAACTTAAGATACAAAACAGATAACCATAAGGGAAAGGAAGCAAAATATTATATAAAATGTAATATAAAAGCAGGGAAGGGGCAAAACATAAGAGACTCTTAAATAGAGAGAACAAACTGAGGGTTGCTGGAGGGGTTGTGGGTAGGCGGAAGAGCTAAATGGGTCAGGGGCATGAAGGAAGACACTTGTTGGGATGAGCACTGGGTGTTATACACAGGGGATGAATCTCTGGAATCTATTCCTGAAATCATTATTGCACTATAGGCTAACTAACTTGGATGTAAAATTAAAAATAAATAAATAAAATAAAAATAAATTTTTTAAAAAGAAGGTATTCTAGAATTGAACTACTTCTATGCCTTAGGGAATAGTATCCTAAAAGTTTACATTTCTAAATAAGTAGATATATTTGAAAATCTCTTGAATGCCACTATATATCTACTGGAATAATACACTATAAAGAGAGTTAAGGTATTTTAAAAATATTAATGTACTTCCTATAGTTATATTCAGCAAAATTTAAAGTTAGTGCTCATCTTGAAATATTTATGGGTAGAATAGCAAATATAGAATTGGCTTTAAAATACTCTTTTAAAAAAAAGGTAGCATGGGAGGTATATAAAACACTATTAGCAAAATGTTGAGAATTGCTGAAGCTGGTTGGTAGGTATACAGGATGCATGATACTCCTTTTTTTTTGTATTTGTGTAAAGATTCCTATAACACAAAGTTTAGAATAAGAAATAGGAGTCAATGCTTAGCATCTAGGAACTTCTTATTCAATTGCTTAATTCAGCTTTAGTATTTAGGTAATCTAAGTCCCAACTCTATTGTTACTTTTCTGAGTCTAAAAATGCTTTTTGAGACTCAGTTTCTTCACTTAAAAGGTAGGACTGTAACATCTCCCTCTCTAGATCTCAATTTTCTTTCCATTCCTGGTTCGATTCCTACCTCATCTGTTTTTTAGGGCACTTAAATTAAGAGAGGAAATTTTAAAAATTATAAAGTATTAAAAATAAGCAAGCCTCAATGCTGGAGGAAAATGGTCCTCTAGTCAATGTATGCAATGAGGTATTAATGATGAAGTGACTTGCATATATTATGAATGATGTGAAAGCAGAAGAGAGGTTAAGAAATTATGTGCTATATAAGCTATAATTTATCTACTAAATTATGAATTACTTGACAGTAGTGGGGTAGGGACCAGGGGTTATCCATCTTTATACTCCAAGTACTGAAGAGTGCCTGACATGGACACAGAAGACTTCTTCAATATGTATGCCAAATACTGTATTCAACCAATTACAAACATTTACTGAGCAACTATTATATGCTCATAACCATAATAAATTTGAAAAACAGGGAATAAAGTAAAATTATAAAAGTTCTATAGAGTTCAGAAATGAAAAGATTAGGGGCGCCTGCATGGCTCCGTCGGTTAAACATCCAACTCTTGATTTCAGCTCAGGTCATGATCTCACAATTTGTGAGTTCAAGCACCGCATCAGGCTTTGTGCTGACAGCATGGAGCCTGCTTGGGATTCTCTCTCTCCCCCTCTCTCTGCCGTTCTACCACTCATGCTCTTTCTCTCTCAAAATAAATAAAGTAAAAGAAAAAAAAAGAAATGAAAAGATTAACACAGCTAAAATAATTAGAAAAACATTTCAGAGGATGTGGAAACCTTAAGAAAATAATAAAAAATATGAATAGCAAAGAAAAGAAAAAGGGGTATTTCAAATAAAGGAATAGCTAAAGCAAAGGCATGTTGGAAACACGGGTATAGAATACTTAGGCAAGTAGGGATTAAAAAAGGAAAATACAATAACAAAAAGCAGAAGCCATTAATTACTTGGCAATACAGAGCCTGAAGTAACAGAAATAAGTCTGGCTAATATTAATAATAGCTAACTCTTAATATAGCTCAATAACTAACATCTTACTATGTCTCAGACACTAATAAATGCTTTGTCTCCATCTATAACCTACACAGTTAATATTATCTCCATTTTATAGAAGAAGTTGTTGAGGTGCTGAGAAATTAAGTAGTTGGCCCACACTTGTCCACACTGGTGGCATCAAATCAAACCATAAGCAAGCCCAAAGAAGTATGCTGTATATCTGTAATCATTAGCAAATTCTAGGGTTAAAAGTATGGGTTTGGGAGCCAAAAACCAATTTCTACTACTTAACATGGACTAGTATGAACTCCACGACTTAACAGCTTCTTGTCCTTGAGAAAGTTACCTATCCTCCCTTCCTTGATTTTCTCACCTGGCAAATAAGAGTGATCATAATCTCCACCCCAAAGAGTTACTAGAGAAGAAAAACCTGAAAATACTCTATAAACTACTCAAGAACACACGGGGTTTACTGGAGACAGCTTGAGGAAGTGAGTTCTAGTCAGTAGAGGTTCTAGTCACTCAGAATTTGCCACCTGGCAGGACCACTTCCTGGCTCTGTTATCTTGGGTAAATCACTCCAATTCTCTAAACCTCAGTTTCTCTGTGTTGGCTTCTTCAATTTTTTTTTCTTAACTACAAAATTCCTCTGACTAGAGTGTAAAAAATGAATGAGAAAGAAAGATGGCAGAGTGGAAGGACCTTGCCATGATGACGGTGGGAGATGTTGATGGTCTCTACTAAAGATAAGACAACAGTTACAGATAACTGGATGGATTTAAGAATGTTATGAGGAGGGTGGTTAACAAGATTCTGTCATGTATTAGATGCAGAGAGGGAGAAAAACTTAAATATCCAGTATGGCACTTGGCATTCTAGCTTAACGATAATACCTTTCTTCTTTGATAGAGAATACAGAGAGGAGGAGTAAGTCTGGGTAGAAAAAACTCATGAATTTGTTTTGCTTATGCTAAATTGATATACTTATGATACATCTAAGAGTGTCAGCTGGGCACAGGCAGAGAGAGAGAGGGAGACACAGAATCCAAAGCAGGCTCCAGGCTCCGAGCTGTCAGCACAGAGCCCGATTGAGGGCTCGAACCCACAAATGGTGAAATCATAACCTGAGCTGAAGTCGGACACTNGCACAGGCAGAGAGAGAGAGGGAGTCACAGAATCCAGAGCAGGCTCCAGGCTCCGAGCTGTCAGCACAGAGCCCGATTGAGGGCTCGAACCCACAAATGGTGAAATCATAACCTGAGCTGAAGTCGGACACTCAACAGACTGAGCGACCCAGATGCCCCAAAATTTCCTTTTATTCATCTAACCATATAAGTCTTAAAATTATTCTGTCACAGTACTTTTTAGGGATTCTTCTCTCCCTCACACTCTCTTTCCCTCCCTCCCTCCTTTCCTTTCTTTCAGTAGGCTTCAAGTCCAGCAAGGAGTCCAACACAGGGCTTAAATGCATGACCCTGAGATCAAGACCTGAGCTGAGATCAAGAGTGGGATGCTTCATCAACTGAGCCACCCAGGGGCCCTCTTTCTGTATTCTTATGATCACCATTCAAATTTAGGAAGTGAAGGTCTTATTTATTCACTTATTTATACTTTATTTATCAGTATTTACTGACTACTTGAGATGTTCTACTAGGTAATGGAAACTCAAAAGTGATAAAAAAAAATAGACATGGTGCTGTCTTTAAAGGACTGACATTCTAGGGGAAGAGAGTATGACAATACATAATCTGTCAACAGAGATACACACTATGCTGAAAAATTTAAGCATCTAACTTAATTAATGAAATTTTCCCACTAAAATGAAGAACAAGGCAAGGATGTCCCCTCTCACCACTCTTTTACAACACTCTACTGGAATTCCTGAGTTATACCATAAGGAAAAGAAATAAATGT